TCTTCTTTGCCCAGCTACAGAAAAGGCATTGTATCAGCTCTGCAGAAACAGAAGGCCTGGAGTATGGATAGACAGCAATTGCTAAGGAATCACTCTGGGAGCAGGCAGACCTGAGGTGCATGAGCTGTTAGCACTGTTGTGATAATAAACCTAATAATAAACTGTATCACTAGGCAGATTCATGAGTTTTGTGTCAGAGCAGGCTGGGAAAATTGCAAGTTAGAAGCTTGCTAGGATATAACAGGACAGTGATTATTCTGTACAAATCAGCATTTCATCTCATTCAGTGGTAAACAGCCCTGCACAGTTATCAGCTCAAGCAGCCTCACAAAAGCTATCCACCTCCCGGTTATACTCCTAACTCTTTGCCCAGAGAACTCACTAGGAGCCCGAGGAGAGTCCTCGGTCCAGCATACCACACATGCAGTGCAGGTTAGGCAAGGAGTATGCAGGCAGCTGACAAGCACTGCAAGCCTTGGACAAAGAGGCCTTTTCATCACATCACCCGCTCTCATCTCTGCCTCAGAATTTTCAGTCTGTTACTACCAGCCACCATTAGTCTTTATCTAAAGGTCAGTTATGGGGATTTCCAAGAAAGAGAAAGTGGGGAGGGGAATCAGCAAGGATCACCATTTATAAAGAGCTTTGTTTTCTGAAATAATGTCAGTTCCAAAGCCAAGAAGCTGCTTTAACCAGCCAGGGTTGATTAGTCCCAGGTTGCTTTGGTACAGAGGAAAAGCAGCCTTTGACAGCAGCTGAATCTTTCAGCATCTATTTCCAAGTCAACAAGAGACAAGCCCCACCAAAAAAATAACAGCTCGATTTGATGATGCAGGTGCCAGTCATGGCAAGCTTTCCAAAGTGCTTTGCAAAAACTGCCACAAAAAGGGGCAATTCTGCTAAAGTACCATGTGAGTAACCCACCGAAGTAAATAGGAGGGTGAGAGACTCTGCAGCATAGCTGTTATAAACCAGGTCTCTCTGTGATCTCTGGAACTTAAAAAGGCCTTAGGCACAGGGCAACTATAACCTGCTAGAGTGAAACTACTTATTGCCTGAATCTCCCTGTATCACTGATATCTACATGTATTCAGCTTTATTTCCTAGCCAAGTTCAGTCACTAGTCAGGGGATGCATTTCTTACCGCTTCGAAATTCTCAGCGTACTTGCCTGAGCGTAAATGCGAGCTTTATGCTGGTGGATGATCTTTCCTCGGGAGCTGCTCTGAGAAAGCTGGGACTTCACTGGGGTCGTGTTCCATTTCTAACAAAAACTACACCATAGTCAGGCAGTTCTCCAAAATGTACCAGCTCACCTCTCTGGTTAAAATGAACTGGCAGCCTGAGTGCTATTTACTGCCATAGGTCTGTTATTTACAGGTGAAGCTTTTTGAAGTTCACAAATGTGAACATGAAAAGCAGCAAGACTAAAAAGAGGGGGAGGAGAGCTTCCCTTCCTTCAATGTAAGAAGATTAAGTGTGGCAAACAGTGACTGCCTCTTGGGAAGGGCAGAAGAAGAGAGCAATGCCTATGCATAAGGCACTGAGTTCAGGGAGATGAAGTGCAGCAGTAGACCCATTTGCTTGACTGTGATGTTCATTGACCTTCCTCCATGAAGGAGAATGTAATGTGTGTGACAGCTGGGATACAGTCCGTCAGAAACACAGAAGGGGAACCAGTAGTGGACTCTGATGCTGAGTTAGCTGCTGCCCCGGGATGTGATACCTACGCATGCCTGTCCTTGTTCGATGTACATGCCCGGCAAAAAAACACCATTTATTGTTGACTTTCTTCTTACAGAACAATACAGGGCAGTGATTAAAGAAGAAGAAACACCTTCATTTGCTCAGAAAAAGACTCCAGCTGTTTGAAGAAATTACACTGAGAGGCATTCATCCCACTAATCGGTTTTCCCAAGGGTGGTTGTGCTCACCCAGCCGCATCAGAGTCTAAAACCCAGGGTAAGAAATGCCTGACTGCAACAGTAAAGGCTGGAAAGCGAACCCGACAGTGGCTCTGCATGGTCCTGAGAGACCCGATCTGAACATTTCAGAAACTTGCTGCCAGGCTGTGTTCATATGATAATTAAGTGTGCCAACTGAATTTTCAAAGGAAGTGTAGACTTTTGCTGGAAGTGTAGACTTTAACACATGAGATGTTCTTTAGGACAGGCAATTGAAATAAACACAGCTTTAAAATGGATTTTGTATACCAGGTCTATATCTGGGTGAGTCTCAGATCAATGTATTACTGAGCAGCTCTAGCCATGCAGCCCTCTTTCATGGGGCACAGCTTTTGGATGTTTTTTCTTACCTACAGGGGCCAGGGAGGAGTGTGTTCTGCTGTATAAGAGGATATAAGAAGAAAAGGGAGCTAAAAATCCTGTGTCCATCAAGAAATGCAACAGCACTAACTCACAGCACAGTTAGCCACTTTCTTAGGAGGTCCTTTGACACCTGAGAGAATCGGACCAGACTGGATCCAGTAAATGTAAATCAACCAGGGGCACCTGTCTGAAAGTGATACGGAGACATTCCTTGCTTCTCTATGCAGTTATGAAATACCTCGTGTCACGGGAAAGCTGGCCTCCGAACGAAGGAGATGTGATTAAGATAATTTATCTTCAAATATGGACAACTAGAATGCATATGGCAGAAAGGCTTTCCTCTCTCTGTTGCAAGAACTGAATCCAGACTCGAGGAGAGGCCATGCAGGAAATCTGCTGGCTCCAGCTGCAGCTGGCTTTGCAATTCGTAACTCAGCGTGGCTCTTGGGAGCGGGGCAGCTGGGACTCACTGCACTGTGAAATCAGCAGCACTGTGTTGTTGCCTTACCTGGCACTGTATTAGCAGGGGTGAAGTCTCTTTTCTCCTGTCCTCTTCCTTTTCCATCTTTTCATCCCGGTCTTTTGCCAGCGGAGATTGAACCCGTGCAGGCTGAACCCTGGTCTCGCCCCGCAGCTTGTTCAGATTGCCTTCCAAGAGGCGCCGCTGGACCACACTGTGTGGCTGCTGTCTCCATCACAAAGAAAGAGAAATCCTGGCTAAGTATGGAGCTAAGGACAAGGATGTTTGCTAGCGCAGGGAAGCAGATTGCAAATGCTGTGGACCTAGCTGATTGTCCTGGTGAAAGACAGGTTTATCCCCAAAAACTTTCTTTAAATCCCAAGATTTTTTCTGTAGCCACTGAGGTGGTGTTGAAGTGTTGGGCTGTCTGTGACCCGCAGGTCTCTGGGATGCGATTGCTGGAGAAGAACATGCCTGATACATACTCTCTCCACACATCTCTGTTCCTTCAGACTTGGCAGTCTCATACCTGTTCAGGTACTGCAATATACTACGTGGTGGGTGACTGCTGACATCCAACCAGGCACACTCACACCTTCTAATGGGGGAGGGGATGAGGGACGCAGCATGTGTGTGATGTACATGTGGGTAAGAAGGCAGGACTTCAGAAATTTTAGGTGTACGAGCAATTATTTGTAGTGAGGCAGGAAGCTTCCCCCTCATAGGAAACTAAAACTAGCTTCTAATGTTCTTCAGGGTCTGTCTCTGCTCCCCTCCATCAGAAGTGATACCATTTTGACTCCCTTCCTAATTGGGGGAGCATCTATGAAGCCCCGTGTTGTCCACAGCTAGAAGGGAGGGCTATCAGCCAGATCAATGGCTGAAGGAACTTTATTCCTGTCTCATGTATCTCTTTCGTACCTCATGTACCTCATATTCCTATCTCATTTCTATCTATCTCCTTTCTTCTGGGTGGAAGAAGGGGAGGTGCACCAAAAGGGAAGAAAAATTGTGAAAACCTTCTTCTCCCAACATTGCATCCGCACACAGAAAGTGCTGCTTTGGAAAGAAAGCTCCCTTTGTCATCGGTGTGATGCTCTAGTTTTTGCCTGCCCAGTGTTGATCCAGTGCCTCCAGTCCCTGCAGAGGTAATGAATCAAGAAAGGGCAGCATCAGTGAGGCGGGCCTCTCGGAGGTAGCTTTGTCCTTTCTCCGTGCACTCGGCCTCGTGGCCCTTCTCCAGGAGAGCAGCTGCTCAGAGCTGACAACAGTGTTCTCAGTAACAACCGCCTGTGTGAAGAAAGGCAATGAATCTGAAGGGGTTGATGTGCCACAGCACAGACCGTTGCTTTTATCTTTCTCAAAAAAAAAAAAAGAAGTTAAAAATCAGCTTCCAGATGGCGCAGCAGTTTCATGTAGGATCTTATCAATGTGCAGGCCAAAAATCTGAATTAGACCGAACTCGCCAATGAGTTGGGCTGTGTTAACACTACGGGGTGTGTGCTTCAGACCAGCTTCGTGCTTGGTCAGAGGGCTGAGGCTGGGGAAATGCGTCCAGCGCAGCTCGAAGCCCGCCAACTGGTCAGTTCTGCCCAGTGTTTGGGGCAGGAAAGCTGTTGCAGCTCTTTGGTTGCACTCCGCATCGCTCTTTGCAGGGCACCGCGTCCCTCGTGCCTCTGGTCCTCCATCCCTCAAGGGGCGGGAGCCAGATCGTTCACACGCTGCATGAGAGACACTGCGGCCGTTGAAAAAGCGAGGTAAAAATACCTCCCTGTTCCTGGCCTTTTCCCAGCCTGCTGGGCAGCCCTGCAGCACAGCTGGCCGTCGTGCTTCGCCCCCCGAATGCTCCCAGCACAGTGCCCGTTTGGCTGCCCGCTGACCGCGGGGCCGTGGGAAAAGGGCAGGGAACTGACTGCCGGTCTCCGCATTCCCACCCTCCCTCCTGTCTCCTCCACAACGCGGCATGCGAAGGAGCTTTCCCTCTTCCCACAGAAAGAGCAGATCCTTCGCATCTGCTGCCTCATCTCCTTCTCGCCACTCCGGCTGGGAAGAGGCCAAGCGCTGGTGGGGAGAAGCTGAGTTTTGGGGCCATGGAGGCATCTATCTGACCCAAGAGCAGACTCCTGGGGCCCTCCCTGCCTTCTGCTTCACCAGTGAGATGGTGGAGACCGTTGTCTCTCTTGTCATCCTAGCATGAATTCCACCAATGTGCGTGGTTTGGAGGTCAGACGTACAGGTCCCTGAATCACGATGGGAGTCTTTCCCTCTCAGTGAAGGTACTGGAGAGAGTCCAGCGGAGGGTTATGAGGATGATGAGGGGACTGGAGCATCTCTCCTATGAGGAAAGGCTGAGGGAGCTGGGCTTGTTTAGCCTGAAGAAGAGAAGGCTGAGAGGGGATCTTATAAATGCTTATAAATATCTGCAGGGTGGGTGTCAGGAGGATGGGGCCAGACTCTTTTCAGTGGTGCCCAGTGACAGGACAAGGGGCAATGGGCACAAACTGAAGCACAGGAAGTTCCGTCTGAACATGAGGAAGAACTTCTTCCCTCTGAGGGTGACGGAGCACTGGAACAGGCTGCCCAGGGAGGTTGTGGAGTCTCCTTCTCTGGAGATATTCAAAACCCACCTGGGCACCGTCCTGTGCAGCCTGCTGTAGGTGACCCTGGTTTGACAGAGGTGATTCTGTGGATGCATTGCATAAGCTGAATGCACACCCAGAATACACAGAAAAGAGTGGCAAGAAATAACAGCCTGACTTTGACTGTTCAAGAAAACATAGTTTTTTTCAAATGACATGAGGCCTTGCTCTAATTTTAGGACATGCGGGGCTGCCACAGATGGAGTCTCTGGCACTGTCGGTGGAGACACGTTTGGGGGAATTAATTAAACTCTCCTCCCAGTGCAAGTGCCATAGGACTCTGGAGTGTTTTGTGCTCTCTCCGACATCAGCCGCTCCAGCGCTTCCTGCTGCTGCTTTGTGTTCAGCCCTGCGTTCGTCTCCTCCAGGAGGGAGCCCGGTCAATTTGGGAACCACAGACGGAGTTCTGCACAGGGCTGGAGGAGTGCCTGAAGGCGTGAAGG